AGGAAGCCCCAGGTACCCCGTTTCTACGTCCATTTAGTGGGGAGATTTTGGCCGGTAAACCGGTAAAGTTATAGGGAAACCCGCAGTCTTAAATCAAGATCAACCAGTTTGCAACAAGCTAACAATCGGGTAAGAAAGTCTGGCCCAGCTGTCGCATTCGGACATGCATGGTCCTCTCGGACCACCTGCGTTGAATCTGATCACACATTAGTTTCAATGCAGTTCGCTCTCCAACTCACTGGTCAGGCTATTCACAATGGGGAACAACGGTTTGACCTGTTGGCTGAGTACTTCAACGAACAGTTCCACTGGCCAGGTTCTAACCAGACTACATCGGCTGTTCTGACAAGGCGGTGGTAACGTCACCAGATTAACACCCCGGAGGACGATTGTTCGAATCCCACCACCACCGCCTGACTTTCCCCAGGTGTGTTGTATGGCAGCCCTTCGATTGGCCGCTTCCCCCTTCCTGATAATTGTATTATTGTGTATTCAATAAAAGGAAGTAAAAATTAAAAGAAAAAAAGACTCCGTGGGCAGTGTCATGTGAACCTCCTACTGAAGCAGAAGTACGAAAGGAAGAGCAGCAGGACCTGAAGTGCTTCCTACCACTCTTTTCAAGATGACCTCGCACATTCCATTACTGATTTAATACGTAACACCTAGTCACACGAGCGCATTTCATCATCCCGGAATGAATCACCAATTGTCCCAATTTTTAGAAATGACCTCGCAACGACTGCGTAAACCACTGTGAATAAGTTTGATCTCAATCGTCACTAAAGCGTTAGCCTCCATCATACTTAGACGTTTGATACTGTTTAGGAGACAAATATCCGCAAACAGCAGGTAGGATTTCGACCTGGCCGTGTTTTTGTCGATAAAATCTGCACTTTACGTCAAGTCCTCAATTCGCAAAGGNACTCTACTCACATATTTCTGATAGCGTAAGTGTATACGGCGAGCTGAGTAGGTCGTTCGTCTCTAGCAACGGTGTTCGCCAAGGGTGCTCTCTTTCGCCATTCCTATTTAATTTCCTCATAGACGAAATACTGGAGAACGTACTAAGTGGTCTTCAACACGTAGTTATTGAATGAACAGCTGGAGAAAAATTGTGTGATTTGGAGTGCGCAGACCACATCGTTCGCCTGTTTGAATGCATAGAGGATGCACAAGGCGCACCAGACAGGCTAGCAAGTTCTGTTGCTCCATTCGGCGTGCGCTTTGAACCTTCAAAGTGCAAAGTGGTTCTGCAAGATTGGGTGTCGCCGAGTCCCTTTCTGACAGTAAACGGTCGGGAATCATCTGAATTTGATTGCTTTTCGTACTTAGGTCGCTGTGTGACCTACGACAGCAACGCATCAAAGGAGATAACCACCCGCATTCCCAAGGCTCGAGCAGCGTACACAGGACTTAAACACCTGTGGCGACAACGTGACGTTTCTCTGACTGGGGACCCAGAGATCATGGTCACCGATGGTTAGAGACACCGATCGATATGGCTGGGTGTCGCAAACAGTGGCGTTCATGCGTCTACTCATGATTCTTGTAACTTCAGTCGATGTAAATGCGTTATCTTCCGCTTGAATCTGCTCTCAACATTCTGCTGTTTTATCCAAATGGGCAACCAAAACCGGCGCACGGAAGTGCATGGGTAATGTTTGTAAGAACTGAACTCAACTGAAGTTAAAACGTCCTGTATACTGTGGCACTCTACGATCAGTTCTGCTTTACGGTTGTGAGGCCATGAATTTGCGAAAAGAGGACATACGTCGCCTGTTGGTTTTTGTCAAGCGATGCTGATGTGGGATGGATTAAGCGTATTAGTAACCTAGAAGTTAGTCTTTGAGCGTTTGAGAATGAATTGAGCACGAACTCACTATCGCTTCGAATTCAGCTCAATAAGCTCTGTTGGTTGTTACACGTTTTGCCTATATTTATCGGTTGCCTATTGCACCGCGCGTTACTTGCGTTGGCCCCTGCAGACTGGAGAAGTCACGTAGAGGCCAGCAGATGACGTGGAAACGAGGTATGAAGAAATGCGCAGAGCGAATAGGTAGAGTAGGTGTTTCTCGTCTTCCTGGTTGGAGTTCGAAAGACTCCTTAGTCGGACAGTTAGAAACACTGAAGTATATGGCAGCGAACCGACAGCAGTGGTGACCTTGCTGTCACTGCTTATCAAACCAGAGTGCTTGCTATAGTGTGGATACGCAGTTGCATTGTGTACTTTGTATATTAACCATAGAAGTTCGCTTTCTGTCCACATCCCTCAAAATAAAGCGGTCCCTATACTCCTAACAGATTCTCGCTTTCCTTGTATATATCATGAGTTTGACAGCGATCGGTGAACTTCGCTTCCCTAGACGATGAGTTTTTATATACTGTCAGTACTTTCAGTATATTACTTTTCACATTTACTGTCCGTATTGGTCTCCGAAAGAACACCCAGAGGCGTCGCATGAGTGTCAGATTGTTAGTTGTAAAAACCAAAACATTGACGAAACGGTTCTGACAGATATTAAATCAACTCTACTTTTGTTATATGAGTCCTTAACTTGGCAGTCCTGCTGAACTCATACGGAAATGTTATTTTTGGCAGCAAATGGATGGATGTCTCTCACGAAGCAGTGGCCACCCGCCTCCAGTATCATCCGTATTTAGTCTTTTTAAGGCTTTGCTGTGTTTTTACTGTTTTTCTTGGCATGTGAATTAGTAACACTTATGATATCGAAATCCATATCTGTTTGAGACATTGTCGTACTCATCTATCGTATCTAACGAGAACACTGTCTTTTGAAACAGCCGATTCCTGGGAAATATCAAAGAAGCCTTTGACAAAAATCCCGATTTGAACAACCTTCTATTTGACTCGTTCTTTGGAGATGTAATCGCTACCTGCCAAGTAAGTGTCTACTACATGGTNCTAGGATTATTTGGGCCACAACTTATGCCTGGGATGACCCTTTCTTTATTTCATTCATATTTCTAAATGCTTACTCATAAGTAGTAACACTCAATGTGATGATCGCACAGACGCAAAAGAATGCCATTGAAAAGTAAATACTGTTGTTTTGTGCACCGCAATTCCCTTTGCTCGTGTCTAAGAGTGATGGCATTACGTCTACCACTTTCAATCCTCTCCACAGGGCGGATGGCGTGAGGTTGTCTCTTTGGCCGCCTTAAAAGGAGTCCCTTGTCCCGCTTTCAGCTCGGCGTTGGCCTACTACGACGGATTGCGCTGCAGTCGATTGCCAGCCAACTTGCTTCAGGTATGCTGATCGCTAATGGAATAACTCCGATTAGAATGTTTCTCCTTACAACCGTAATCATAAATGGTTCTGTGCATAATATGAGGTTGTTGTGGTCATCTCTGTGACAAAGTTTCTGTTGAACTGAACGTCGTTTCAGTGTTCTGACCTGACGTATTCTTACTTTTATTTCTGATCGACTAACTCCTGCGGGAGGATAAGTCGGCTTCTGTGATATCACTGATAATGGCGACGCACGCATGCCGATCGGTAGCAAGATTAACGCAGTGTGAAACCTAGTTCTGGTTCCAGTTATGAATTCCATATACGGGTTGGAGGCCCAGTTATTCCAAATCCGCCTTGATCGTACTGCTCCAGGTCTTCAGTTGACCACCAAGTCGGCAGCACCATTCACGGCACGGTGCGGGGGCTACAATCTGTCGCGAGAATTCAGTGTCGGGCCTTCGGAGTACATGACCAAACCACTCGAGGCGCCGGCGTTTTAGCATTTTTGAAAGCTTGTCAATGTTAAGCAGGGCCGTCGAACCTCTTCATTGGAAATCCGATCTCTCCAGTTTACTTTCAAGATGCGTCATAAGCACCAGTGATTAAAGACTTCGAGCTTCCTTGTATCTTGTACTCTTAGCGGCCAGGTTTCACAACCGTGAGGATGGGGCGGATGGAAGCCTGATAAACCCGAAGCTTATTTCGCTTGGATTCCACAATGGTTTGAGGAGTCGCAAGAAGGCTCTTCTAGCTCCACCTACACGGAGTTGGATTTCATCCTTGGCCTGGCCGTTTGGTCTTATCGTATAGCCGAAATACTTGAAAACTTCGCTTGATTCGACAAGCTCTCCAATAATCGAGAGGATTCGTGTCATGGCAAAAGTCTCGGTTGAAAATGTCTTCATTTTTGACGTTTTGATCTCTAGTCCAATGGCCTGGACAAGCTGATTTATACGACTGACAACAGGCTGGAGGTTGTCCACGGTGTCTCCAAGTACAACGACATCATCCACAAACTCGAGGTCAGCAATCAGTCCATGTATCTGGGTCAAGCTGCACACCCGGAATAGTCGATGTTTTCTGTGACATTATCCAACCTACGGTGTAATTGAATAACACCGACGATAGGGGTAAACCTTGCCTGACTCCAGAGCTTAGGGTAAACTCAGCTGATTCCTCTCCATAGGTACGGACACGTGCCCGGGTATAATGACTTAAAAACCCAGATGAACTTCTCAGGCATCCTGTCGGACCGCAATATGCACCACAAGGATTCTCTATTGATGGAGTCAAACGCAGCGCGGAAGTCAATGAAACGTGCTGTGGTAGGCTTTTGGAACTTGGAGCGTTGTTCAAAAACCCTACGGAGAGTGAAGATTTGTTCACCACAGCGTCTTCCGCGGTGAAACCCTCTTGTTTCGGGCGAGTGCGGATAACCCATAAAACGATATACCTCATGTGTGACTAAGTCTGCTTTCACTATCTTTTAATTTCTCCTCGTATTCTCGTCTTCTTTTGCAGGCTCAACGTGATTATTTCGGTGCGCATCAGTTCGAAAGAATAGAAAAACCGGGCACGTTTGTGCACGCAAACTGGACTGGACATGGTGGCAACGTCGCAGCAACTACATATCAATTGTGATTATTCACAACGAATGCCTGCATATTATTCTCTCTTTTATATTGCTGACATATTCTTAAATATTATTCTTACTTGGTCTGACTCTTCATGAAAGCGCTATTTAGAACATCCATCTCGAGATCATGTTATATTCCGACGTACATATGCAATTAGTTTCCTGACAAGCAGAGATGCACCCTCAATAATTTTTAGAGAGACAGAAACAGCAATGGTGAAAAGCACTCGATGGTTTTTTCTATAAATGAGGGGACGGGTGCCATTTTTACAAAAAAGCAAAAGAAGGCATAAGATGAAAGTTCAAATGAACAGGCTCATATACAAGTTCACATCATGTACAGGTACACAAGGCCGGAATCCTATTAGTCCATCTCATCACCAGATAAGTAGGCTCCGGAAGGCTCCTCTTCCGCTGTCGCTGAAGCAGTCGGTCGGTTACGGTCCGCGTTGGTTGTGCTTGCCAGTTTTGTAGTGCTGCTTGCAGCTGGTGTTTGTTTCGCACTTTTACCTTCACACGCGACTATTTTAATCTGAAAGAAGCATTACATGAAAGAGGGATTACCTTGGTTGAATTTACTA